TCCAAAATGTGGACACAAGACAAATTTCTGGAGGCAGGAACCTCTACCCTGGTGCTTGGCACTGCCTCATCACAAATGAATTCTCATTAACCCTCTGTCTTTGTCTCATTTATTCCTGATGCTCAGTCCAGGTGGGAAAATTCCAAGAACTGAGCTGAGGGACTTGCCAATGGTCTGACTTCCAGAGAGAAGAGAGATCTGGATGCTTTGGCTTCTACTGGGCCTGAGGATGGGCAATAATCACTCCAAGACCACACATAATTGAGAGTTTCCCCCAAACAAGGGAAAGATAAAAAAAGAGTTCAGGTTTTAGATTATCCCAAATATAAGCAATGTCTGAGATAAAAGGCTTGTGAGTCACTGTGGAGCTTGACTATAAACTATGGGAAAATATATTTCAAGTTACAGAATTATTAATAGATTACTTTGGGATAAAATTTACTTCTAGGCATGACTTGTTTACATTTTTATTTTAAAAGGAAGTCATTTGGTTGAAGACCTTAACTTTGAAGAGCAACTATTGTGTTGGGAGTTTTGGACAATAGAGAGGACCAGATGTGGAGATATCTTTGGAAATGTTGATATTTCAGAAATGCTAAAGTCACCTATCCATGCAAATTTTAACATAGGTTTTGTATCTATGAGGATATACTATGGCTCTGTGCTGGACATTGGTTTTGCAGAGGGGAACAGAATGTTGTGCTCTTCTGTAGCTTGGACTTTAATCTGGTTCATATATGGAGTTCTTCGACTTCTCCCTTGTAATAAAATATTCCAGTACAGAGACAGTATTGAGGAAGGTCAGATTTTGGTTGTAGACCAAAAGTCTCAATAGCTCCAATCTTGTAAACAAAAATTTAGTGCTTGTTTCTTCCAGAAGAGATACTTTTACCAAACTTGGCTTAGAATCTTTAGCAAACATTTCTTACCAGACATGGTGCCAGAGGAGGCCTAGCCATGAATAAATTTATAATCCAGTAGAGGAGACAGACATTGAAAAGAATCATGTCTATGAAACACATTGAAACACATCTCTGGAACAGAGATGTGCTCAATGTGCTATGTAGACAGACATTCAGATTTTTCAGAATGGGCTGATGTTAGGAGAGTCTTCCTGGAGCTGGTCTTCATCCTAGAGCTGCCATGTAAACCCAGCTTTTCTGTTCACCCATGTGGCCAGTCCTCAGTTACTGGACTGCTGCCACATGATAAGCCAAAACCTACAGCCTAGCAGTCAGGGTCATCCGTTAAGTTAGAGATGCCTCCCTCTCTCTCTGTCTTTCCAACAGTGCCCAACTATTGAAACCTCTTGGATGTGGGAGTGAAGTAGGCTAAGGAATGATGAACATCCATCCCTGATGGCTTTGATGCCTGATCCATCTCAGACTTGTGATTTCCCCAATACTAGTTCTGCAGGGATAAGGATAGAGGCTGGGAGAACTGTTGTCTTAGTTACTTTTCTTTCATTGCTGAGACAAAATACCCAACTCCCAAAGTTAAAAGGGGAAAGGTTTATTTAGCTCACAGTTTGTAGAGGTTTCAGTCCATAATCAGCTGGCTCCAAGGCAGGGTGGCATGGCAGACAGACATCACATAGGAGAAACAGTTCATGGCAGGCAGAAGGTAGCAAAGCAACAAAGGTCGACCACAACCCTTTCTATCCCTTATATCTTTTGCAGGCTACTTAAGGTGGGTAGCTCACATCCTTAATCCTAGTTCTCTTGATCCTAGCATTGCACCATGAATTGGTCCCAGGGTCAGACATTCTTGATCCAGCTACCTCTGAAAAAGCCCCATCTATGACTGCATGAGGCTTTGGGGGACCATCTAAACAAAAGCCGTAAAAACTGTCTTGGTGTTCATCTTCCTCTCCTATTTACTCAGCCCCTGTGTAGGAATTTTCTTAGGGAGCACTATGCAAAACCACAGCAGGCCTGGAAGATAAATATTTCTTGACAGACCTCTCTGTCTTAATTTGCATGAATATTTGTGTACCGTTTTATTTACATTAGTGAGACAGAACAGTAGTTCTCCAGCTTTGATGTGTGTGAGCCTTAGAGATTAGAACCGGGGCTCTTCCTTTGAGAAAACAAATACTTTTGTGTTGATTTCAATGAGATATAAATCATACCCAGGAAGTTTACAGTTGAGTAAGAATGATATAATTACTGATTGTGTACCAGAAGAGGATGTATTTATGAAACGACTTGAAAAAGCTTGTAATCCCTTTGCATATTTTGAATAACTAATTGCTATGTCATTGTGGCATATTTGCACCACAAGAGTTAAGTCTGTCAAACGTTTCCCTCCGAAAACCTTGTTTTAAGGGATTTCTTACTTGGTCGTAAAAATGTGCTCTAAGTTGGAGCTGACTTGATGGCATTCTGTGTTCAGAACACTTGATTTGAATGGTGCCAGTCAGAGTTAAATTACAGGCTGGGAAAAAGGAAACAAATTTTTTAAAAAGGAGGTGTTTATGGTTCCCTGCTCCCCTAAGTACTTCTTGAGGATCAAAATAGCGTCTTTAAAATAAATTGCAGACCATTAGTTCATGGTGGAGGAAACTCCTTTGAGACTGGGCTGAGGGAGGGGAAGGCAACCACCCTAGAAAGAAGAGATTGATTTGGGCCCCTTTGCAACCATGTGCAAACCATGCAGGGGAGCCTTGGAGTGTCTGTGTATGCAGATGGCTCTTCCCATCCCCATGGAAGGTGTTTGTGTCACACCGAGAGGACATCAGGGCAGCTCTACTCCAACTCCGAATCTGAATAGAGACCTGGGTTTCTTGGAGTACCATTTCCCCTGATGACACTTTCTCTTTGTAAACAAATAAAACCCTGTTGCCTGCCTACCTTTTACCCTTATAGATCATAGAACCTTGCTACTTAAGACTGGAGGAGTTTGTCCTATGCTTGCTGGACAGAAGGCACCCACTTTGTAAGGATGTTTGTCCAGATATTCCTCCATACCTGGTGGCAGCTCAAGCCACAGAGGTATGTACTCCTTGGTTGGAATATTAACCTAGGTATCTTCTATCTATCAACAGCAGAAAATGCAAGATAATGAGACAGAGAAGAGGGGACGAGACAGAGAAGAGAAAGAGGGGGATGGTTTCTGCCTTTGTCTGAGTCACCTTGAGCCCTAGTTGTCTGGGCACAGCCTCTGTCTTTAACACCTACCATCAATGGAAGCGAGAGATTTATAGCCTAACTTGTTCAGCCTCAATTCAAATTTCCTTGTCTTTTTTAGATTTCACTCATGCCTAATGACACTTTTTTTTGAGAAAGCTAATTGCATTGGTTTCTCCAAGAGCTATCACTTTAAACAATCCATCCTGACTGTGAAAACAAATACATGCTTGACTTATTTCATTTATTTTCCCCCCAAACCTAAATGAGGATAAAGCCATTCTGGATAAGAAGACATGTGTGTGTCTTTGTCACATCTTTTATCATCACGACTGCTTTTCCAAATAATACAACTAGTGATAAATGTGAACATTAATTACAGTTAACAAAGAAATGTCATGTGAAGTATTCATGGGAGGAAAAGAAGAGAGAGAGAGAGAAAGAAAAAAACCCAGACAATCAGTGAGATTACATCTTGCACCAAGCTTCAAGTCAAAGTGCAAAAGTCAGAAATCAAATACCATCAGATATCAAATATGTTAATGATTCTAATGAAAGCTTCTGGTATTCTGCTCAAGAATGTGTTGCTGTAATGGTAACTAATAGAACAAGAGGAGCTGATTGCCATGAATTAATTAGAACTGACTGCTAGAGTTTCTTTTTTATTTATTTATTTATTTAAATATTGACAATCTGTTTAGAACCTGAGGTTTGTTCCTGTGGTCCTTTTCTTTCCTTCCCTAGTCATCAACCAGCCCAAGAGTAAGAATGTAATTGTGTTTTCTCATACCACAGGTAGTCCCCTCCAGCCCCAAGGCTTTGACCCAGAGTGACAGCCCATAAATTAAACTGAAGACGTGAAGACATGAAGATCCACACATAGGCCCACCCTTAACATTTGTGGGACTCAGAGGAGAGTCCACATGAGATCCCTTATTTGAAGCTCCCTTTCTGTTGTGGTTAAGCTTGAATGTGTCAACTTGATTGGCTTGGGAGCCACCCAGGGGATTGGTGGAACACATTGTTGGGTGTGTGTGAATGAGTTGTGGCAGGTAGACTTTGGGTAGTATGTCTGGTCCCTGGCCCCTGTTTCCCTACTCTGCCTCCCAGCTACCATGAATTAAGCAGCTTTGGTCTGCTATTCCCTTCTACTAAGATGTTCCTGCCTTGGAGCCAGCTAATCATGGACTGAATCTCCTTAAAACATGAACCAAATTAAGCCTCTCTTCCTTTAAACTGAGCGTATCGGGTATTCTGTCCAGCAACAGAAAAGCTGACTAGTACATTTCCATTTTCTTTCTGTCCTTCAGTCTATTCTTTACCAACAGAAGTCAATGCATACCTGTACATGGATGCCCAGCTTGCCTATCCACCCTCCACCCACTTGGAGCTGCTCTTAGGCTGCCCCATGGGCTGAGATGGCACATATACTGGTGGTAATATGTGTTGTTGAATGTAGAACTCAGAGAAGAGGTTCTTTGAAGCCCTAGAAGAGGCTCACAGTTGTTTGAGAAGGAAATTTGGGCCCTGGTTACTCATAATATGGGCTACTAACTGGGAAATACGTTCCAGGCTGGAAGTGCCATTGGATCTTGGGCTCATCCCTTAGCTGTGGAAGGCAGATGGAAGCAGGTCAGAGTGGGGCCTCCTGGAGCTCTTGGCTGAGGGTGAGGCTCTGTACTTGGATCTCTGAGCAGTACTGAGCATGGATATTCTTTGTTGTGGGTATCTGAATATATAGATCTAGAGTTCTGTCTTACCTAAATCTACTTTATTTTCCCCCATTTATTCATTTCTTCTTCTGTTTTTTTTTTTTTTTTTTTTGGTACCGGGGATCGAACTCGGGTCCTTGCGCTTGTGCAGCAGGCGGTGAAACCACTGAGCTAAATCCCCAGCCCTATTCATTTCTTCTTTTATTTGATATTTTCTGGTCACTTAACCATGCCAAGCTCTGGGACACAAAGAAAAATAAGTTAAAGTCTCTGTCTTCAGAGATCTCACAACTTTTTCAAATCTGTGACTCCCTCATAAATGAATACTGGACAGAGATCTGTTGAAAATTCTTGGCCTTTGGTGGCTGTCTTGTACCCCTTTGTCTGTGTGCTCTTCCCCCATCTGATCATGGCAGCAGGTATTACATGTTCTGTAGTGGAGAGACAAGGAGTGCAAATGCAGAGCTTAGAAAAGATGAACTAAACTGGCCATGGTGGCATATGGCTGGAATCCTGGCATTCTGGGTGGTTGAGGCAGGAGGATCACTGTTCTGTATGGTTAACTTGGTTACCTAATGAGATTCAGTCTCAAAATAAAAAATAAAAAGGGCTAGGAATGTGGTTGGGCTGGGGATGCAGCTCAATGTGAAGGCCCTAGATTCAATCCCCAGTACTGAAAAAAATTTTTAAAAAGAGGAGGTGAACTATTCTGGCTCCCTGAGGGGCCATTTGGTTCTTCCAGTGCCACCTTTGGTTCTTCGCTGGAGCCCTTTTGAGCTCTTCCCATCTAGCTTAAAAAATGTCCCCACTGACTCCAGATCAGAGGCAAATACTGTACTGAGAAGAGGGGGAATCCTAGGACCATAAGGAAAAGGCCCAAGAGGAATCTGCTTGAACTTGTGGTTCTAAGCAGTCCCTGATTGCCCCAGGGCCAATTTGTAAAGCTTCTGCCTAGAAAATGAATCATCGACACATTTTGCTCTCCTATTAAAATCTTTCTCTCTACTTAAGTCATCAAGGGCACTTCCTAAAATTTTCACCGTGGAGTAAAGGTCTTGGTCCTTACCAAAGGGCTGCTGACAGCCTTGCTTTTTCTGCAGCCTTCGCTCCCGGGTGTTGGGAAGCACATCAGACTATGCTGCATTTCTTTCACTGGCTAAATTGGTACATTAGGACAAAAATGATTTCCACATTTGCATAGTTGATTTCATTAGTATCGCCATTATTGATGCCCAGCTCCTCTGAAAGAAAGGAGCCATAAAAGCAAATAAAATCACTTTGCGATTCCATTATTAGATAAATTACCACATTACTGCCTGCATTTTAGGGCTAACGCCATTCCCCATATTTGCATAGTTTATTTCATTATCATTATTAATAACAACAACAATAATAATGATGACTAGGATCCTTAAATGAAAGGAACTAGGAAAATGCCAGAGAACCTCTAGAAGTCTTTATGGACTTGCTCTCGTCGCTAGGAGTTCCTTTATCTGCTGTGGAACTGTAGCCGTTTCATTGCACCAGCCAGAAACATTTAACAGAGCCCACAGGAAAGCAGCCCATTACTTGTGGGACCACCTGCCTGCTCTGAAATAGTGACTCATCACGCACTGTGACTACTAAAGATTTAGGCTGGGAGTCCCGGCTCCGTTTCGTCACCTAACTGGGTCCCTTCAGGGGTGTCAGGGATGGCACTTAGATGGGCTGAGCCTTGGCTTCCTTGCAGATGAAGTGGGCACGAGTACGATGGTGCTCGCTTTGCAGTTGGATGAAGAGCAAAGGAAATGGTGGATGTGTCTGCAGATCATCGGGCTGCGCATTGTTTATAGAAATTAATATCACTTCACTGAACCTGGATTTGACACTGGTGGCTAAGATGCTGTATGATGGAGACAGGGGCTATTCTAGTTTGTCTCTGGCTGGGAGAATTTTCCCAAACCTTCCTTCATTTTCTAAGATGACATCCTCTACGAGAAGTAGGGAAAGCATACTTGTTTATAGTTAATGATCTGCGGTATTTACAAATAGCTTACTTTGATAATAACCAGTCCTAGGGTGACCTGGCAGCCACAATATTGTTCTTTCTTACTCAGCGATTTCCAATTATGCCTCTCTCTTTTCCTTGGCTACGAAGCCAAGAAGTATGAAGTCTTTCTGTCTATTAATTCTGGAGTCCTGTAGTGAAAGGAAGGTCCACTGGTGGCCGTCTGTGGTCTGCTGGAGAATTTTCCCCCTGGTTTTGTTTTTATTATTTTATTTTATTTCTGCCACACCAGAGGCTCCAAAAAAATGAATGTGTCAGTAAAGGATTTGACAGTATGTTACGACAGTCATCAATCCACTGAGCCCTGTAGCCATAAATAAGCTTCATACGCTGCCACACTAAAGAGGACAGTTTTTCTTCTCCAGGACATTGAAAATGTCACAGAGAGGGAATTGTTTGTCCCCGTCTCCACGGCAACGCCACCAGCACTTATCATTAACTTTCACACCAAGATTTTAATCAGCACTCTTTGCGGCCTAAGACCAAGTCAACATCAGCCCAAATTTTCAGAGCCGTTATTCTAATTATGACGAGAAAGCTATAGATTGATGAGCCGAGTTTTCTGCCAGCACCGGTGGCAGTTAATTCTTGTGACCTGCGTGGCTTGGGGAGTCTCTCTTAGAGATGGAGTCTTGAAAGTTCGATTATTAGTGACAGCTTGTAAGTGAGAGGAGCCTTATCTCTCCAGAGGGTGTTGATAACTTGAGACAAGGTTTAACTAGGAAGTAGTGAGACAGTGGCGGGAGGGAGACGAGGAGAAAAGGAAAACGCAAGTGCACAGTGTCTGCAGCCGAATCCAGCGTAATGAGAAAATACGGACAGGCACAATTTCACAAGTTGTAAATTCTGGTAGCCTTCAGTTGTAAATTCTGGTGGAGGCTGTTTCACTCGGCTATCTGATAATGTGTGAAAATATTTGTCCCTTTGCTTCATAGGCATGGGCAAGCACTGTTTCCCAGAAAATGCATTCACTTCCCAGCTTCTCCTACCTCTTTTTTGTTTCCACTGGTTAGGGGACCTCTAGAAACAAAATGGTAATCTGTAATTGAAATGAAGTGGTAGCTGATTTTTAGAGAGCCTCTTCTTTTTTTATTTTCTTCCTCCCAGTGCCCCTCTTTTTATGGTACTGGGGATCAAACCCAAGGCCTTTGCACTGAGCTACATCCCCAGCCCTTTCTAAAATTTTTCATTTTGAAACAGGGTCTCAGTAAGTCACTAAATTGCCCAGGCTAGGTTTGAACTTGCAGTCCTCCTGCCTCATCCTCCCAGAGTGTGGGGATTACAGGGATTATAGGCATGCAGCACCATGCCCCCGGGCTCCTTCCACTTTTTTTGGTTTGGATTCATTCTCATTTCTAGAGTCTTTGGTTTGCTGTGGAAGAAAGAGTTACAAATGTCTCCCTCCTGTTTTTGTCAGTCTCCCTTTTCTGTCTTCAGAGATGAGTGTCTGATGAGTGTCTGTAGTACTGTCTCTACCATGTGTCAGTACTGTTCCTGCGGGTGACTTTGTACCTCTTTCAACTTTGCTCTTGGAAATGGTGTCTTGTCCCCCCTTTCCAGGCCCAGTTGAACCATTTGTCAGGGAGAGTTGGAAGTGATTTAATGATTCTGAGGCCCCCCAGCCAAAGGCTTCCCTGATCTCGTCCTGCGCCCCAGCCTCTTCTTAAGGGAGGGTGCAGGAGGGCAGCATGGTGAGGGCCCAGGAGCTCCTTCCGGATGCTCCAAGTCCCAGCTCTAACTGCAGCTCCCCACTGCCCCAGAGCAGGACATTCTGCACCTCCATTTTCTCATCTTTCAAATGGTGATAATTCCTGTCTAGTTTCCTTCACATATCAAATGAGAAAATAGGAATTCAATTGCTCCTATTTCTTGCAACTGTTGCATAAGTATCTGCAGATGTTGTCTGCCCTTTTACTTTGTCTTTTCCCCCCAAAACTAGATAAGGACAATGCTATTACCTTTTATAATGTTTTCTTTCTCAAATTATTTTTGCACATCTAAAACAAGCGCAGTTATCTCTATTAGCTTTATTTTGCCCCCAAGAACACTGAGGCACAGAGAGGTGAGGATCTTGCTTGTGGTCACACAGCCAATTAGAGGCCTTACTGGGTACAGAAGTCTCCATTCTCAGCATGCAGCTCCCTAGACCACACTGCTTACCATATTAATGGGTTGGGATTAAGGACAAAAGCAAACCCAATTAGTTTCTGTTGCAGCCCTTTTACAATCCTGTCTTGTTTCCCATGTGTTTATACGTCTGTTTTAATAGCACTCCCTGCCTTTTATGCTGAGGTTGCTCGAGGTATGTTTATAATGGTGGCGTAATTATAATAATAAAATACAAATCCTTCCACAGAGCGTGCTCATTACAGGCTGGCCAGGTAAAACAAACAGGCCTTGCGTTAACTCCAAAGTAAGGTGGTTTGTTTCTAATGTGCAGCTTAAAACACAAGCTGCCTTGCTTGTCTAGCCAGGGAGGCCCTGTGCTCCCCTCGTCGCTGGACTTGGGGTGCAAGGCTGAGCAGGTAATTGAGACACCCAGACCAGCTTGCTTTAGCATGGTCTTGCTCTTTTAACCCCTCCTTTTCCGGGGGAGAAATGAGAAGCAAACAGGGAAATCTGTTCTAATTCTCATAGCCTTAAGATCTCTCCCTAAATATGCAAGTAGGCCCTTTGGTAGCCAAACTCCTGGACATAGGAGTTTCTAACATATACAAAAGGGAAAACGATTGTTTTGAATAGAGCAGTAGGAGAGAGAGAGACTGTATGTTTTTTTAAATGCCTGTCTGTCCTTGTTAATTAGAAGTGCACATATTGGGAAATTAACTATGAAATACTAAAAATGATAAATTATTCCTTATTTGAAAGTATAAATTAAAGGTTTAGTGTATATAAAATTTGTCATGTTTAATTGCAAGTTCAATTAAAATTCAGGGTAATGATGATTTATACAGGTTTCTGTGTAATTTGATATTCATTAGCTTAGCCAGACACATGCTGATATTAGCTCGTTAATTATGTTTCCTTTTGTTGAAGGCAGCCTTGTGAAAGCAATCTGCTCAAAGTTTTCTAAACTCATTCTGCTAAATGAATATTTGGCAGCTGTTCATGTTATTGAGATGGTCACTGTGGCTTCATTTCACTCACAGGCTGCATCAATCATACCTTCTCTGTGACAAACAAGGGTTTCTCATTACAAACCCATTTATGAAGGTTATGGCTGACATTAAAGACTGATGGCGTGGTACTGTGTGCTGTTACTTTATGGTAACGTTGGAGTGGAGCAGCCGTTAATATCCACACCTCCCACCTGGTCAAAGTTTTTAAAATGCATGCAAGGGAAGACAAACTCACCAGAAGGCTCCAGGTCCTGTTTCCAACTGGCTCCACTTTGGGAATCAGACCTTGGCTCTCAGAAAAAGGCCCTCAAGGAGCAGTGATGCAGCCCCCTACCTTAGTCTGAGGGTGGCCATGTTGCATGCATCTGTGTGATCCATGAGGTGCACAGAGGGTGAAAGATTCCCTCAGTGAGCAGGGGAATGAGCAGGACTGTGAGGGAAGTGGACATGGAAGCCCTTAGCTAAGTGGAGAGGAAGTTTCTAGAAGCACAGCATCCATCTTGGTGAAGAATGGAAGGAATTACCATCTGACTGGGAAAACAGTTTTGGGACCGTCCCCTGCCCTGCTTTTTGGAGGACTATGAATATTTTAACAGGTTCTTCAGAGCTGTTACTGCACAGTCCTCACCCTTAGGAAATTGTGGAATGCTGGATGGAGCTGAGACACAGGGATATTGGTTGATTTATTTATTGGCACCGATGTGGAGACTCTGGGCTACTCTGCCTGTCACAGGACCGGCAGCAGTCAAGCCTCTCCAGTGAAGCCTTGGTTTCAGTTTTGATTTCTCTCCAGCACTGTCTTCTAGGATGGATCCAGACATTTGGTAAATGGTCCAAATGTTGAGTCTAAGCTGACCCAGAGTCTTAGCTTCCAGCCATCAGTATACCTATAGTTAGCAGTTGTTTTTTTATGGCAAAATGCAGTCAAAATTTCTTGCAAGAAATGATAATTTTGTGTCTCCATAGATCTACTTATGCACTTGGATGTTTTCGGGAGGAATACTTAGGGACTCACCTTTACCCTCTTTGGGGACTATCTCTTGTGCAGTGGGTCTTGTTTACAGGCTGTTGCTTCCCTTGAGGTCATTGTGGAAGAGGCAGCTGGCTAGCTGTCCACCAAGGTTGTTGTCTTCTTCCAGAGTGGACAGTTGTTGCTGGGACAGCACCTTCCTTCCGGTCCCCATCCCCTCATGTGCCATGTGGCAGTCTGAAGGCCTGACTGATAGAAGTGAAGATTCTGAGGTATAATATCTGACAGAGTCACAAAGTAGAAGGAGCCTGGGTCCCAGCATCACTATGTGGAAGGCCATATACTGAACATCTGATTGAATCTCTAACCATTCAGGGTTTCTCTATTACAGCTACTAGCATTACCTTTACTTATATAGTTCATGCTCTCACTCATTCTACAAATGCCGGGTGAATATTTTACTCAGGGCCAAATTTTAGGCTAGGGGTTGAGGACATAAAGATAAAAAAGATACAGTTCCCAACTTCAGGGAGTGTGGCTGTGTCATAAGGGAGTGGTACAAGTAAAAACACCTCACTGTAATGGAAAACGTGTTGGCACATAGGTTTGGGGAAGAAACGCTCAGAGGGCTCCTCATCCCCTTGAAGTATCCAGTGGAAGAGCAGATGTAAACTTTCATATTAATAGAGCATTTTCTTCCCAATGAAATCATATGTGGTAATCTCCAATTTCTGAAACAGGAAAAATTGGAAGAGGCTTCAGTAGATATGGGAAACTGTAGGCTCAAAGTCTCCCTCCAGTTCCTCCTGGCTGCCCTGATGTGCCCTTATGGTCTGGGTGCTGTGGACTGTACTCCCCAACCCACCCAAAGACGTTCACGCCTAAGGTGGCCTGGGCTTTCACTATTTATGATTATGATTACTGTTATTATTATTATATAGATTGTGGTACATAATGGCCCTTTTTAATAGAGTGGTTATCTGTAGTCAGTGCAGGTTTCGTTGGTGATGGCTAGCTTGTTCCAAACTATTTTTTATAATTATGAGCTGCTTGACATTGGTTAAGTTTCTTCGTCTGTAAAATCAGGATAATCACAGTGTCCGTCTCCCAGGATCATTGTGGAAATTACACACGTTAATATACTTATTATGTATATTAGCTACAGTAAGTGTGTTGTGGTGGGTGTTCATCAGTGTTGACCCCCCCCAACCCTGTGTTAAGAACATGACATTATGTTATGGGTATTTCTAAATTTTCACTGAGTAAGCAAAGGGATCCAAGAAACTTCTTCCATACTTAGGGAGGGATATCTTAGTAATAAGATCCTCAAACTTTTGATAGCTAACTTGTGATGTCATTTCAGTTTTATGCACCAAATTCTTTTGATGGCTTTCTGAAACTCAAGGAGGGTTAGAACTTGTCTTCATCATGTATACAGAGAAGTCCATCATATTCAGAAAAACCTAAGGTTGTTTTTATTTTAATTCAGCCTCCCATCCTTAACAGTCCTAGATAATATAACTTGCAACTTTATTTTTGTTTAAATTTTAGCACCTTATGTCTCATTAATGCATTTTGTCAGTGTGCAAAGCCCTCTGGTGGTCAAAGTAATTCCTATGTGGCTCTTCTAGATGAGTAGGATAAAATCAATTTTATGTTAAAGAGCTGGGTTCAAATTTTATTTTTGTTCTTTGCTTACTTCTTTTTCTTTTTCTTTTCTCACTGAAAACTACAAAGCAAACATTCCACCAGAACAGGTCTTCTGAAGCATTTTAGTTCAAAAGATATCTTGTCAAAAAATAGTAGTAGGAGAGTTCTTTCATCCAGACAAACATACATTCATATGAACCTTTTAGAGGGCTTAAATGCTGTTGTTTCACATTTTATTGTCATTCCTGAAATGAAATTTAGCAAGTAGCTTGAGTTCTACTCATAAACCCTCGACCTCCCCAGCAGGTCCCAAGGAAGCCAGGTCTCATCGGACTTGGCCATGG